CATGCAACATTACAACTCAGCAGCATGCATATATGCATCTCCAAAAAGAGAGAGTTACACACATTTGAACACAGAACAACAGTGCTGCAAATGCAATTAAATTCAAAAAATTATAAATGATCACTGAGAGAGCATGGAGAGAAGATCAGTCCAGACCAGGAACTGATAGCAGGTCACGCTGTGTACTCGTACATGTCTTCATATCAGACAGGTGAGCTGTCACACACAGAATGGTAGTTAAGTTTTCAGATGCTTAGTACATTCACAGATTGATCACACAAAAGTTTAATCTAAATCAAGTCCGTGGGAACAGCTAGAAACTATTTAGAACTCAATAACAAAAGAGAGACTGTCGACAAGTACATAAAAACAATGGCAGCAAGAATGCAAGCTGTCATCAAGGCCGAAGCAAGCCATACAAAATATTAAGTTTTTGGTTATTGTGTGTGAAAAATGACTATTGAGGGTTTTTTTGCCAAATAAATAATAATATTTTTCTATTTATGTTTTTCATTTTTATGACAGGTGGTCAAATAATTTGATGAACACCATATACATAAATATATATATCTAATGGGGTCAGACAAATCTTATTAATAAAAATGTATGGGACTAATACAATGAATAACCTTTGTCACTTGTTCTTGACAATTCCTAGCCAGAAGAATATTGATGAAATAAAAATTCATTGTAAATTAAAATTTGTCAAGTGTATGAATAATTGTGGGCTCAACTGTGTGCCCACACTGTCCTCAAGGACAGCAACATTACAATAGACAAAAAATATGTACCTTGTTGGATCTCATGAGAAATTATAAAGAAGCAGTAGTTGAACATTTCACTTTTTGTATACTTTAGTTTGTAGAATTCAATTAAATAGATGATGGATACAAATCAAAAACAGAACCCCTTCATTTTGCAACAGATGCAAACAATTTGTAAAGCTTTGTGTGTTCTCGGGAGCACATTTCCCTAAAAAACTCCAACATTGAAAAGGCTTAGAATCTCTAAGACTCTTTCTGCAACAAGCATTCCATGAATCTGGTGTTTAGGGTTAGTGGCCAGACAGAAGCCTTTCTTATACACAGATGTGACAGAGTGTTTGATGATCTGAGTTAATTCTAAAGAGCATTTAAAGAGCACTGAGAAACCTAGGAAAGATGTTGTCTTGACTGATAAGACAGAAGTCTTTTGGGCACAGCTCCAAGTACTATGTCTGATGAACACCTGGCCCTGGAGGCTGGCTAACACTATCCCTGTGGCTGAGCATGTTGGTGAAGGTGTTTCTCAGCAGCAGGGACAGTGACCTGCTGAGAAGGACGAATGCTGTCAAATACACAGAGGTCCTTGAAGGTAACCTGAAGCACACACTCAAGACAGTAAAAATGAAACCCCCTGACTATGGCCCAGTGAATATCTTTGGAGAGACTTGAAGATTCCATTTTACTAAGGCTTCTCTTCAAGGCAGACGACGTTTTTGATTTTTGATTTTGATTTTTTTCAATTTGCAAAGATTCCTATAAACATGTTTTCCCTTTGTCATTATGGGTTATTGAGTGTAAATTGATAGGGGGAAATCATTTGAAACTAATGCTTCAACACAATAAAGAATGCAGAGATTGAAGGCGTGTGAATACTTTTACAATCCACTATAGATCCTAACTGTATATCATGCAGCCTACATTCATCTTTTGATTCCTTTTTATACATCTAACTATAACGATGATATGGTGTGGGTTTTTTTTTTCCTTTATGAACATGATGATTATCAGGGACGATAAACATTTTTATTATTGAATCTTACACTTGTCTCGTAGTTTCTGGCTTTTCTTAAATGAATGATGAGAAACTTTTCACTTTATGTCTTTGCATCCACACAATAAACCCAGAATGAGCTGTGGGTCTGTAACCGAAACTTCAGTTCATTTGCAAAAACAGATAACTCCATCTTCACAAACCTCCAGAAAGCCCACATTTCCATCGTCTACCTGAGACAATATCAATCAAACTTAAGTCATTTCTACTGAGCCAAATCCATTCAACTTCAGTTTGATTGATATTATCTCAAGCAAGCAACAAAACAGTAAGTTTTCTGAAAATGTACAAAAATAATCTGTTTTTGCAAATGAACTTTTAACTTATTCTGTGGATGCTTTCTAGAGAACTATTACACAGATATTGTTGCTGTTTTTACGGACACCGAAATGAATTAAGAAAAAACAAACAAAGACTTATTGATGCTGGAAGTTCACAGATTCGGACTTCCGGCAATATTTGTGTAATAATAAAATAATCATGATTAAACCTATAATCTTTCCAACTTTACCGGAGTACTTAATACAGGTTTACTGCTTTGTTTCGACATTAATAAC